TCATCTCATCAACAGTCATGACCTGATGATCACTACTACTATCAGCACTAAAGGTGTCAACATCGCTACTTACCGCATCGTGCTCCTTAGTGAAGACTAAAGGGATGCCCAACTCCTCAAGTTTAGTATCAAGTATAGACGAAGACATCCTTTGGCAAGAGATAAACAGACGGCGGCAGCTTCGGCCAGCAAGAATGGTAAAAGTAGTTAATCCACCTATGACTTGACCAATCACTAAATCGATCACCAGGGCGAGCGCGATATGCAGCGCAACATTACACAGGAGCCAAGGAAACACAAAGACTTTGAGCATCATCTCAATCATCATCATCCAGATCGATCTCCACCACCTCTCGAGGGTAGGCGGGCGGTAGGTCCCCAAGCTTGTGGGCGAGACGATGGCGGACACTCTTGGACAACACCTTAGGTGATTTACTATCGGCATCCTTTAATACATCAATGATCACCTGCAATACATACAGGGACTATGGTAACGTGTTCAAGAAATGAAAGAAGTGTGGTATGTATCACATACTGCGTAAAAAGACCAGGGGTATCGGCCAACACTACTGCTACCGGTACAACCCTATATGACACTGGTGGAGGAATATGTATTTGCTTTCCTCAGCTGAGCTCACAGGTTTACACACGAACTATGGTGGGAGCCTCCTACCATCATTCGTGGTGATAATATATTCGGTAGTCGCGGTTCAGTATATACGTGGGTACACGTGTATACTCCTGAATAAGACAGATTATGACGATTTGTTGTTTTGCATGGCTGGGTGTATCATGTTATCATGATGATTGACTGTTTCCAAAAAAACGAGAATACTCCTACTAGGAGTATACCGACCAGAAATTTGCTCACATTTTTTCTCATTTCGTCACCAACACATGCAGTCAACTATGTGCATATTCTCAAACTCACATATTTTGTTACTGCTCGACGAGCAGTGTGGTAGAACTTGCACATGATCAACCACAACTCTTGGTGACAATACCAAAACTCTGAGGAAACTTTGGAAAACTT